TTAGACAGCCAGCCACCCCAGCCTGCCACCCCTGTCTTAGACGGCTGGCCACCCCTGGGGGAGCCGCTCCTTTTATAGGGCAGCGGAAGTGTCTCCCGGCTCCCATTCAAAGTGCTCCCGGCGCGCGACAGACACGCGGCTGCCGAAGAGGGAGGGAGGCAAGGAGGGAGGAAGGGAGAGAGGGAAGGAGGAGGAGGAGGAGGAGGAGGAGGAGGAGGAGGAGGAGGAGGAGGAGGAGGAGGAGCGAAGAGGAGGAGCTGGAAACGGAGGAGGCGGATGAGAGATGAGATGAGGATGAAGAGGAGGAGGAGGAGGAGGAGGAGGGAGGAGGAGGAGGGGAGGAGGAGGAGGAGGAGGAGGAGGAGGAGGGAATAGGAGGAGGAGGAGGAGGAGGAGGAGGAGGAGGAGGCGAGGAGGAGAGGAGGAGGAGGAGGAGGAGGAGGAATAGGAGGAGGAGGAGGAGGAGGAGGAGGAGGAGGAGGAGGAAGAGGAGGAGGAGGAGGAATAGGAAGAGGAGCAGGAAGAGGAATAGGAAAAGGCGGAGGAGGAGGGTGCTTGAAGTGATATGGCCCAAGGGCGCTTCAACCCCAGTGGTGGGACCAAAGGCCTGGTGCACTACCTTGCTGTGCAACCGAATGACAGGACATGTCCTGCCTCGGGGCAGTGCAGCCAGGGAGATCACATCGAAGACCCCTTCATGCTCAAACCATTGCGGACAAATTGTTTCCCCGCGGCCGCTCCGTTTGGGCCAGCCAGAGAGTTTAGGAAACCGGTTGTCCGCCAAACGCCGAGGAGGAGGAAGGCCATAGAGGAAAAGGAGGAGGAGGAGCAGGAGGAGGAGGAGGAGGAGGAGGGGGAGGAGGAGAGGAGTACAGGAATACAGGGGCGTGGGGGCGCCGTCCGTCTCGCGAACAGCGCTCCGCGGGACCTCAAAAGAGGTCGAAGGCCAGGCCGAACGACGCCGCGTCGTTCCGCCGCCTGCGCCTCGGCGCCGCCCGCCCTCGGTGAGGTGGGCCGCGCCGCAGCCATGGAAGCCGCCGCCTAGCCCTCCTCGCCGTTGCGGGTGGGCGAGGGGCTCGGCGGCGGCAGCGAAGAGGTCTGCGGGCTGGACCCTGCCACATCCTCTTCGCTGCTGGGCACCTCAGCACCCGCGGGCGGCACCACCGCTGCGCCAGCGGCGCGGGGCTGGCCCTCGGCCGCCTCCCCCGCAAGGCCGCCCCGCTGGCCGCCAGAGTCCGGGCCAACGGCGGCCGCGCCAGCGCCCTGCGCCGGTGGCCGCCTGCGCTCGCCAGGCGCCCAGCCGATCCGCGGCGAATCGGGGCCTCGCACAGGGTCGGCCAGCCACCGACGGAGGACGTCCGTCTCGTACCTCCGCATGGAGACGGCCATCCACGCTTGGGAGTACGACAGGCCTCGGCGGTACCGCATGTACGCCCTGCGGTTGACCCCGCCGCGCGCTCATGCCCTGTCGCATATCTCGCGGCTGGCCCAGGACGGCCCCGACGTACGGCACGCAGTGCTGCGCCCAGTCGTCCGCCAGCTGAGCCTCTGTGTTGGTGGCCTCGATCCACCAGCGCGCCCCCCTCGCGAGCCTCCGTGCCGTGGCAGCTGGCCTGGGGGGACCACGCGGCAGCGGCTCCCTGGGCTGCCTCTTGGCCCCCACGGCGGGGCTGCGGCTCCTGACGGCGAAGCGCGCCGCAGGCCAAGGCCTCGGCCTGCACTGCTGCTGGAGCTCCTCGCACCGCACCTGCACTCGAGCGGGCAGCTCCGTGCGTCGCTCCCTCCTGTTCCTGGCGTTCGGGTCCAGCCTTGACCCTTGGCCAACACGGCTGGCCTCACGCTCCTCGATGCGCTGGAAGGAGGAGGAGGAGGAGGAGGAGGAGGAGGAGGAGGAGGAGGAGGAGAGGAGGAGGAGCGCGGAGGAGGAGGAGGAGGAGGTCCGTAGCCATTTTGGTTCAAGCTAGTCTCAACCCCCCTTGTTGCCATTTCCCCTCGCGGCATGTGGCGTCTGGAGAAAGGTTGAGGATGGCGATACGGGAGGCGGCCGAACACGGCAACCAAGAGCGTCTGTCTTGCCGGTCCGCGGCGAGGCGAGCAGCCCAGGCTGCTGCAGCGGCTTCAGCGGACGGGGCGATCCGTCGGCTACAGAGCTGGCTGGCGGCAGCACAGGCGGAAGCGGCACAATTGCGAATGGCGTTGCAGTCGCTCAAGCAGGTTCTGATTGGAGGCGACCAATTGGCTGGTCGAGTACGACTGAATGAACATGTTCTTGCAGCAGGAATCGCCGACGTACCCATGCCCACGGTCGTCGTCGCCCGCAGGAGCTTGGCAGCCCACGAGTTCGGAATCCCAGTGTCGACCATCGTGGCTGCTGACCAGAAAGAGCTCAACCGCCTCCAGAGGGTCGGCGCTGCCAGCCGCCGTCGACGTCACCGACCCCGCGGCACCAATCCCACCAAACCTTTAGGGCGTAGGTGGTCTAGGGAGCTTCCTCTTCCAACCCCCTTCTTCCCTTAGGGAAAGGGTTTATTACTCTTCTCTATTGGTAAACACCCCCTCCCCCACCCGGCCGGCAGCCAACCCGGAACCATGCGCACACCATGAGGGCCACCCCGCCATCCCTATCAAAAAACAACACACATGCACATTGAGGGGCCCGCCCTGCCAACACCCTCCACAATCCGTTTCAAAAAAATGCGAAGTGCACGTTGCAGCAAAATCTGGACAGTGCGCTGGCGCCCTGTGAGCACGTTGTATGTTTTGACAGGGATGGCGGGGCACCCTTAGTGAAACCGCTTTGTGCAGGACCACCATCCGCGTCAAAAACAATGCAAAATGCACGTTGCGACAACGTCGTGGGCATTGTATTGTGCCGGCCGCCCGCGATCACTTTGTTTTGTTTTTTTGACAGGGACGGCGGTAGTGCCCGCATGATGATGTTTTCTGTGCGCAGGCCCAGAACAGTGCTGACGCTCCCCACATCAGCATCTGGAGCATGCGGACAGGGGGCAGGACGTTTTTTTTTTTGTTTTGGGGGGGTGGTTAAAACACATTTTATTTTAAAAAGTATATATATAACAACGACGGCACACCGACCGCATGTGGAGCCCGCGGCGAGCGTCGCGCACCAGGCGCCCGCTTTGGTTCATAGTGCCTGTCCATCCAATGGCGACCCCTGGCTATGCCGAGACTCGGACGCCACTTCTGTGGTGGGAGGGCGGGTGGGAGTGAGCTAGACGGCTTGCGTGCGGAGGTGTCTTGATCACTGTTCCCTATTAATAAACACCCCCTCCCTCAGGCGACTGGTAGCCAACCAGGAACCATGAGACCCCCCCCACCATCCCTTATACAAAAGCCATGCAAAACACACTCTGCCTCCAAATTCGGAGCATTCGCAGCCAACCCGATGCGGCCTCACCCCACCATCCCTGTCAAAAAACAATACAGAGTACACTTGGCTGCGGCGGCGGCTGCGGCGGCGGCTGCGGCTGCGGCGGCGGCTGCGGCGGCGGACGCGGCGGTTTGGCCCCCAGTAGCTGCCCATCCAAAAACGACTGCTGAATATGCTGAGGCTCGGGCCAGACTCGGGTGCTACGTATGTGTTGGGAGGGCGGGTGGGAGTGAGCGAGACGGCCATCGGGCGGGGCGGGAGTCATGACCCCTCCACAATTACGCAATATGAATACTACTCTCTCCTCCATCCCCTGATGGCGTGCGGAAGATAGCGGGCATCCCTCCGCGTACTGTTATTACACAGGATTTCCCGGAGTTGGGTTTTCGCTGTTTTTTGTCAAACTGATGCTCTCGCTAAGGCGCGGGCTTCATGTTTGGGCTTCCGCTCGTTCCGAATCGTGCTCCCGCTGCAACGCTGGCCTCCTTTCCGTGCTTCCGCTCGTTCCGAATCGTGCTCCCGCTGCAACGCTGGCCTCATTTCCGCGCTTCCGCTCGTTCCGAGCCGTGCTCCCGCGGCAGCGCTGGCGTCATTTCCCGCGCCATGTCACGGCATGCAGTGCAATGCTAGGTTGCGTTCCGCTGCGCGATGCCATGTCTTCAGCTGCAGCTGTCATATCCAGTGCGTAAGTGCCACGTCATGCTATGCCATGCTACGCTTTGATCTTCAACGCCATGCTATGCAATGTTATGTTCGGGGCCGCTGTGCGATGCCATGCTTTGCGTTGCAAAGCTTTGTGATGCAATTCTTCACTACGCCACGCCACGCCATGCTGTGACATACCATGCTTTGCGGTGCTCTTCTACGCCATGCCATGCCGTGCTCTACAATGCATCGCATACCCTTTCGGGATCATTGCCCTGCTCAACATCCGACTGTGCGAGTAGAGAGGGGATCTACGCCATGGTAAGGGGTGGGAGGAAGGGGTAGGATGTCAGATATGACGCGAGCGCACCTAGCTTGCCCTACCCCCTCCCCTGGACCTGGACAGGAGATTCCGCGGGTGGTTGGAGCGTCTAAAAATGCCTCGGCGAGGGCTAAGGTGTTGGCCCCATTTGGCCTCCTGGGGGGGCGAGGCTGATTAAGAACCCCCCCTTCCTCTGATCGATCTCACCCAAGATGGCCCAAAGATGGCCCCCAAGGGTGCCCCAAGAGGCCCCCAGGAGGCCCTCACGCAGATCGGCGGGGTCAGGGTCCAAAAACACAAGGGATTCGCATAATTTTTCAAATTCGGTGGCACCCCTCACGCAGTATCATATGAAAATCATTTTGTGTCAAAGATTACCAATCGCCCTCGCATGAAGTTTCGACATTGCTTCACGACGGCGTCCAGGCACCCAATGACACCGGAGAAAAAACCCAATCAGATTTTTGTTGGGGCTATGGGGCTGTAGGGCCATAAAGCTATAAGGTTATGAGGCAATAGGGCTATAGGGCTATTGGGATATAGGGCTATAAGGCTATAGGGCTATAAGGCTGTAGAGCTATAGGGCTATAGGGCTATAAGGCTATGGGGCTATCGGGCTATAGGGCTATAGAACTATTGGGCTGTAGGGCTATGGGGCTATAAACTATAAGGCTATTGGGCTATTGGGAACCCCGGGCACCCGGGCACCCAGGCCCGGCCACCGAAATCGGCGACCAACCTCACCGGCCACCCGGGCACCCGGGCACCGCCGGGCACCCAGGCGCCCGGGCACCCGGGCCCGGCCACCGAAATCGGCGACCCACCTCACCTACACCTATGATAGACCGCGCTCGTGGGGCCCGACAGACTAGAAGGGGGGCCCCAGCTTGAAGCTACCCCCCTCCCCCCTTCCTTGCTAAACGGGGGGGGTGCTTCGGAAGCCCCCCCCCCCCTCCCCCCTTTTCGTGGTCCGGAAGGGGGGGGGGGCTTCCAAGCTACCCCACCCCTCCCTCCCTTTAATTGAACCCGGGTGAGCCCCCCCCCCCCTTTGAAGCGGGGGGGGCTTCGGAAGCTACCCCCCCCCTCCCCCTCTTGTCGTGGCCGGAAAAAGGGGGGAGGGGGGCTTCCAAGCTACCCCCCTCCTCCCTCCTTTTAATGGAGCTGGGTGAGCCCACACGCCCCCTTTGAAAGGAAAAGGGGGGGGGGGCTTGAAGCCCCCCCCCCTTTCCCCCCTTTGGCCGCCCAGCTCCCGGAGCCATCGCCCTCCCTTTCGCCTCCATTTATTCCCGCCCCTCTCCCTCCTCCTCTTCTTCCTTTTGCCTCCTCCTCTTCCTCGTCCTCCTCATCCTCCTCATAGTCATCATCGTCATCGTCATCGTCATCATCATCATCATCATCATCATCATCATCATCATCATCATCATCATCATCATCATCATCATCATCATCATCGTACTCCCCCGCGGGTCCTTCGTTCCGTTCCTCCTCCTCCTCCTCCTCGGTTTCTTCCTCCTCCTTCTCCTCCTCCATTTTTCCCTCCTCCTCCTCCTCCTCCTCCTCCTCATCATCATCATCATCATCATCATCACCCATCCCATCACCATCACCATCACCATCACCATCACCCCATCACCCATCACCATCCATCACCATTCACCATACCATAACCCATCACAATCAACCATCACCATCACCATCACCATCACCATCACATTCACCATCACCATCACCATCATCATCATCATCATCATCATCATCATCATATCATCATCATCATCATTTTCATCATCATTCATCAATTCATATCATAATCATCATCCTTATCTTCTACTCGCCATCGCTCCTCCTCCTCTCGTTAATCCTTCTCCTCCTGCCTCCCCTCCTCCGTTTCCCCCTCCTCCTCCCTCCTCCTCCTATCCCCCTCCCCCTTCCTCTCCTCCACATCCTCCTTCCTCCTCTCCTCCTCTCCTCCTCTTTTCCTCCTTCTCCTCCCCCCCCCTCGCCCTCCTCATTCTTCCGCCTCCTCCTCCTCCTCCTCCTCCTCTTCCTCCCCCTCTCCGCCTCCCCCATCCTCCGC